TTTTTTTTTTTTCCTTTTATTGAGTTTATTGGTACATTTTAGGTATACAGTACAGTTATATTCATCATTGGGATCTTGTACCTTTACATGACAGGTCTTGGTTCTCATTTTTTCCCCTTGTCCCTCACCTCACTTCACCCCCTCCTCCTCTCCCCATTTACAAACACTTCATTTCCATTTTTTCATTTCTCATATTTTTTCTTTTCCCTTATTTCCTTTCCCCTACCCTTCCCATTTCCCTTACCCTTCCCATTTCCCCTACACCTTTAACCCTTTCCTTCCTATTTCACATTGTCAGTTATACAATTTGGATCTTTTACACTTTTAGTTTTTCACACCAGAGAAACTATTTGGTATTTACACATGTGTGTCATATTTATTTCACTTAGGAGTATATCCTCAATAAGTATCCATTTTCTTATGAATGACTCTAATTTCTCACTACAGTTTGCATTCTTGTTCCTGGTAAGAAAAATGTGGGGCTACCTGTTTTTGTGTTGAAAATTCCTATGTGAAGTTCAGTGGTCTGTACTACTCAGAATGCCGTGGTATGGAAATAGTCGCCTTTCTCGCTGTATGCTTCCTATTGAATACTTTGAATATAGTTTTCACTCAGAAATAGCTGGGCAACATCTGGTATTTTAAGCCTTATCAGGTAGCTTCTTAATGCTCATTGGGGAGCAATAGCCCTGGGCTTTGCAGCTGGGAGTACCTGAGTGAGAATTCCAATCACCACCTATTACTCCTTAATTATTCATGAGCAAATAAAAATCTCCAGCTTTGGTGTTTTTAGTAATATCTCCTGAATCTGCACATGGGAACCCCTAAATTCATTTCCTTATTTGATGGTGACTTTCATAGGGCCCTAAAAAGCACCAGATGGCATATCAAGAACCAAGGTTAGAAAGTATATGATCTTTTAGGCCTAGGAGAACAAGTAGTTAGAACAGTACAATGAGCCTTGGAACAGAACAGATAGGCACAAACTACAATTTAAGAGTAAACAGAAGTGAGGAAAGCTTTGCGAAAAAAAGTGTTGTTTGATTTTAATGTAAAGGGGAAGGAGAAATTAGACAAAAAGAATGGGAAGAAAGACATTCCAGATTTTAGAAAACACAAAAGGATGAGGGAGCTTTGGGCCTGTGGGTAAAGCTGACAAGGGCACAGTCTGGTATGATTAGAGATTGCACTTTTCTCATAAGCAGGTGGGTAGCCCTAGGCAATAATGTTCG